CAAGGAAAAGAAAAAAGCAGATAAAACAAAATCAAACCCCTACCATGAGTTAAAATCTGTCTAACTTCTCCAAAAGCCAAGTTTGCTTCATTTTACTTTCTATTTTATTTCTTTTGAAATGCTAGTTAAGAAATCCATCCAAACATAACCTAATTAAATTACCCATTCGCGATGTATTCGTATTTACTTACCATAACTGTTTTACTGTTTGACAAAATACTAGAAATCTCTCTCCGCGTAGATCCAAACCCATTCCCTTCCTAAACTAAGCAAGAACGAAAAGAAAATTTTCATTTCGAAAGCGTAAAACTGGCCGTACTTCGGAATAAATGATTTTCCAAACTCCCTCGGAACATGAACTCGTACACAAGCAGCCTATGATCATCTTCACAACAGTACCCAATCAACTTCACCAGATTAGGATGCCTTAGCTGCCCTAGAAAATTCACCTCCGTCTGCACAAGAACCACACAAATCACAAAATTAATACAAATTAATCAAGTAGTAAAAAAGAAGAGTGCAAAAGCAAAACGCAACAAGCAGCCACTCCCTCGATGTCCCCTTGTAATCCTCCTTGTTCATAAACCTTAAAACCGCCACAGGAACGTTTTGAGTCAAACCACTCCTGGAAACGTTTTTTCTCATCAATGTAGGCCTTTGTAAAAAACGGTGGCCGACCCTCCCTCGCCGCTGATGTAAGTCCCTCCGCGGAAGCTCTTGTTATGGTTCTTCCACCTCGTAGAGCGTGAATCGATAATCACGTGCGTGTTGTTTGCTTGTTACCCGTCCGCGGTTGTCGACAAGCTTCGCTCAGATCCGAAAGGCACATCACTCAGAATTTGTGTCTGTGACCGTGACCGTGAAACCGTTCCTTCCTCTTCTCCCTCGCTAATATTAAACCCGGCCATTCTGACCTCCTCCGCACTGGCGCCCAAGGACGCCGCATGGTGAAGCTGCTGAACTGAAGCAACCAAAATACAAACAATGTGTGTGAGTGAGCGAGCGAGTTTCTGAGTTAACACGGTGAAATTGAATTGAAGAGAATGCCGATTAGTAAATGATGCAACTAATTAATACGAAAATTGCGAGCCCTAGATCTGGAACCTTGCGCGTTGGAAACTACGGCAGATTCCTCTCTGGTTCCGCAGTTTCCCATTCATTCAAGTGGTGGAGCGGGAAAACGACGTCGTTGGAGCAATTGTTGCGGTGGTGGTTGCGGAGTAGTAGACGACGGTGCTGACGGTGGTGGTGGTGGTGTCCGGCAGGACAAGTTTTTCATGCTTCGCCTTCTCCCCCCGTTCTGTTTCTCCCGTAATTCTTTTCAGCTCACTCGCTCCCTCCTTAATGCCATATTTAATCGCTTTTTCTGATTTTGCTTTTCATCGTACTCCACTATTTATTTCTTTTAATCGCTTTCTTCTTTTTTTTTTCTTTCTTTAATTCTAATTATAACTTTTTTTCAATTGCGTCCTTTATAAATATTTATTATTATTATTGCGTTTTAAATATACAATTAATATTCACGCTCCTCTTCTGTGCAACATTTCTTTTCTTTTCTCTATTATTATTAATTCATGTTTTTCTATTTAGTTACTTTACATTTTTAAAATGTTTTCAGAAATATTAAAATCTAATAATATTTCCCCGTTATAGTATAGTTGAAAATGTTATTACCCGAAATATATAAGAATATTAAATAACGTTACTATATAGTTTTTATTTCTTTTAAAATGTTCTGAATATTTACATTATTACTGCAGATTTATGCGAGTTAATCGAAAAAGAGTTGTTTCAGTTAGTTTATGATTTCATGTTTAAATTCTAGATTTTAAGATTTGTTTTCGAATGATAACTTTATATTTTCGTTAATGAATTTATAGTTTTTTTTTTGCGAAGAAGGCATATTTAATACAATATATTGTCCTAATAAAAATATTAATTTCCCATCCTACATATTTACATTGCTGTGTTTACATTTATAATTAATAATGAATGGCTTACTTAATAAACTAGAGAATCTCGTATTAATAATTACTCGAAATTTAAACCATTTAAAAAAGGTATATGAATTAGCAACATGAAACCAAAGTGTTAATAGAATAAATGCGGTGTATTAGTGTTAACTAAGCATTATTAATAGTGGGTATTGCATTGCTTTCAAGATAACCATTTTTAGTACTTAAGTGTTGGAAATTTGGTTAATGTGTCTAAACTCACATTTAGATTATATTAAGCTTGGTATTCATGAATCACGAGTTAGGTGGGTACCGATATTTTGATCAATTCATTTTATACTTAAAAAACTTATCCTATTTTTTAGGATTATTTTTCTTAGGTTTAAATCATTATATGCAATACCTACATAATTAAACTTTTCTCGATTCCATTGACCTATCAAAACGTCATTATTGTTTACTCATTGCATATAACCTTTTTCTTTTTCTATGAATTATTTCTTCTCGCAATTACAAGGACACTTATCAGCACGTTAATGGGTAGGTGACAAAAAAAGGGTGTTGGTGAAACCTTATGTGAATGAAGGTTCCTTATACTTAATTAGATTTGTTTAAAACTTAGTATAAGTATGTTAAAGTGTTATTGTTTTCTTTATATATAAATCACTTTGGTTGATCTCATTTGAAAAAAAAAAGTGCTAAATAATTTGATGATTAAAAATCTAAACAAAAATAGATGGGAGTTTGTGAATGATTTTCATATATTTTTTTATTGATCTTAATACTTTGTAACTATATCATGATAAACTAGGTGTAGATAAATTGTTTGACAACTTAAAGAAAAGGAAACATTTGAATATTGATAAATGGATGCTATTGTTGTTAATATGAATACATTAAACCTTATATCTACTCGTATTACCGTAAAGAGGAAAAATATAAGGATATATTTGTAATGCCCTTGTAATCACGATTATTTGTGTAATTTTTTATTTAGCCATATGGTTTTTATAGATGATATGAAATGTGTTTTTTCCTTTTTTGTTTTTTTTTTGTTTTTTTTTTGTTTTTTAAAGAAGAAAATGTCCCAATTTGTTCTTTGGTCCATATTTCTAAGTTTTGTTTTTGACAGGTTTGAAATTTATAGATGATTGATAATATTTATTTATATATGTAACTAAAACTAAAAACTTCTATCCTAATGAAGGAAATAAGGTGGAATTATCACAAAACCATTTGCTAAAAAACTCATAAGAGAGTGAAAAAAATAAGCACTTGTTTTTATATAGAAACTGAAAACTGAAAATAATATTTTTAATTGTAAACGAAATTCATAATTAATTAATTATAAAATATAAGATAATCAATCAATAATGTAGTCTTTTGACTGAGACAATAAAAAAGAAAGACTTACAAATATGAAAATAAGCATGTGATGTAGTGATGGTGGGTGATAATCATGGATTATTTAGATCGAATTTTGTTTGGGACATTTTTTTTTTTTTTTTTTTTGGACGATCTTTTTGGTGATCAATTTGTTTTTTTTTTTTTTTTTTAATAGATTTTGGAACCTTTGAATTTAATCGATCACCAAATTAACTAATATTTAGTTTCAAAGATTTTAGTATCAATCCTTATTGATAGATTATTTTATAGATATTCAACATGAAAGAGAAATGCAAACATACTTTATTGCAAGAGATTAAGTGTTTTATATGTATCAAAGTGATAGATTGTGGTTCAAAAATTAAACACAAAAGATTTTTTAAGTAACAAATTTTGTTTACATAAGGTTCAAAGCGATAAACAATACAATGTTATTTTAGAGCATTAGATGATTCTAATAAATACATTGATTAGACGAGACAAGTATCTCCAAAAAGTACGAGTCCTAGTGATCTATAAAGAAAGAACGATCTAATTTTTTTTCAGAGTACATTGAGTCTAGCAATACAAGCATCAGATGACTCTAGTGATACTCTAATTAAACAACTTAAATGATAATTAATTAGAGGACTTGTCATGTATCATCTTCTCTTTTCAATCCTTAAGAATATTTTATTTCTTCATTAAGCTTATAACATCAACTTCTCTAAGTCACTAGAAATCTCCAATTCATCTGGCTAGCATTATTTCTAGGTTCATTAAATGATCTTTCTCACCTATAGACAACTTATGAGTTTGCTTACAATTCAACTATATAAAGCACATGTTAGAACACTCATGGAATATATATGTAGATTATCATATATAGTCAAAACTCAACCTATGGATAGTTCATAAGTTGTTTACTGAAATTCAACAAACTATATTACTTAATTAGACTCATCTAGCTAGAGTGTCTAATACAAGTTTTCTATATCGTCTAGCAAAAATTAAGAAACTGAATGATTTCATTCATAGCTCAATTAATATCCATGGGTGGTGGATAGTTATCAACTAAAATATTAATTTAACCTAATTATTCTGTAAAATAATTAAGAATAAATATATAAATGTGATATAAAATATAGTCATCAAATATATAATTTTTACAAATGACAAAACATCACTAAAAGTAGAATTAATTGTTGATGAGATTAAATTTTGGTCCTTAATTTCTATCAATATTTATGGCTTTATGAAAGGTTTCATTTTGGTTTTTTAATCATTTAAAATGTTCCAATTTTGTTCTTCATCTGTTTAAAATGTCTCAACTTGATTCTTAATGATATTTAAAAGTTCCAATTTGATCCTTCACTATTTTAAAAAATGTTCAAATTTTGGTTAAGAGAATTTCAACTATTTATTATACCATGTAACGATGAAGAACAAACATACGAACAAATTTATTAATTACATTCATTTGAAAACAGTTCACAAAAAATGCAAGTGTTTTCCAAACATTGAATTTTTTTTAGCAATGGCTAACCCGCCAGAGCACAGCAAATATAGCAGTTTTATTTTCAGATAAAAGATTTCAAGCATTGAGTATGATTTGCAGTATTAGCATAAAAAGAACTGAAAGAGATGAAATTGAGATGGTTTGATTTGTACTAAAAATAAATTATTAACTGTAATTTATGAAAAGAACAGCTCATGCAAATTAGGAATTCCTGCAAAATAAAAATTTGGTTTTAAACAAAGAGAGACCGAACTGACAAGGAGTGGGATAAAAATGATGGACAATCCAACGGCTAGTTGATGGTTGCAGCATCCTGTGGCAAATCCACACTTTCAGATTAGAAGAAGCACTGCAGCAGCTTCAGACGGAGGGGCAGCAGTATGTACCCTTCTTCAACTAAGCAACTGCCTCAAATTCATCCTTTACATGAGATTGCTAGTAATTTTTAGTTTTTCCCAAGTTCATGCAGAAGAGAAAGGCCGCAGCCTAACGTGAGTTTTCTTAACTATTTTTATTTTTTGGTCAAAGTACTATAAACTGTAAGATTTAGTTACATCATCAACAGTTTATATTTATACATATTAATACTGTCAATACTCAATGCAGACACTCAATGCAGACATCTAAAAGTCACAATCTCTTTAACACAAACGACAAAAGCATATTCGAAAGTATTTGTATCCAATTATTTTATGGAAACTCTACGGTAGAGACAATTAGCATGAGCAGTAGCATGATAACCAAAGAAAAAATGCAAAAGCAGTATAAGTCTAACCAACAATATCAGTGCTCGAAACCCCTTCAGTGCGCTTTATCTGCTTATACCGACCAGCCTTCTTAGCATGAGCATAAGCATCGGTTCCATCCGGAAGAACGCAAGGATCGTCCCCATGAATAATGAAATCTATCTTGTACTCATCAAAAAGCTTCTTCATGAACTCCTCAGTTATCGCATAGGGTGCTTCAGGAATAACCTCATCCACCCACTTCACCGCATTCACCATCATCAACCTAACACAACAAAAACACACTAAACGCCACATCAAGATTAAAACAAACAAACAAACAAACAAGTTTCAATAAAAAGCTAAGAATCCGGCTCCTCTAAGGTAGGCAAGATTACCGTGAGTAATATGAGGCATCAATAAGAAAATCAACTGTAAATACTTTAACCAAGGTTTTAAAAAAGGGTCCACGAACATTACGCTCAACGTCAAGGGCTTCCGGCAAAGCTCCATCTAGAAGATTACTACACAAATTCAAACAGCAAGCAATTCCACCTCGTTGTAGCTACTTAACACCATGGAAAGGTGAAAAACCGCGACCACAGTGTAAAACTTTGATTTTAACACATCTATGATTCGTTATACTCATGCCTATGACATAGACCGTTTCATCAACCTCTAAGGCAAATTGCAGACATTAGGGGAACCGGATCCCAAAAATAAACAAACAAATAAATGGCATTCAAAACAATGCCAAAATCGCCACCTACAAGATCACCACCCCAAAAGAAACAGTAAATTAAATTACAAAAGGGATCACAAAGATGAAACCTTTCGTGAAGAGGGGTAACGGGAGGACCCTTGTTGGCAATGATCTCGGCGTCACTAACAACCCCAACAATCAATTGGTCACCCAGTGCACGAGCTTGGCGAAGGGCATTGCAGTGGCCATAATGCATCATGTCAAAGCAACCATCCATGTAGACACGAACGGGTTTCTTGTTGCGTCTTCGGCTCTTCCAGAACATTCCAAGCTGGCTAGAGTATGCACCCAACAGTGACACCCCCACGATCACCCCTCCCACCATGCACGTTACCACCCATTTCGTCCCCGTCGCCGGCTTCTCCGTCACCGCCTCGTAACTACTCATTTTCTCTCCCTCTCTCTCTCTCTCTCTCTTTCCCTCTCTCGATGTCGATGTCTGTGTATCACCGCTTCTTCTCCTTCCTCATTCGTAGCACCACACACAAATGGAATGGAAAGGAATGAAAAGCGTAGCGAATTGGAATTGCAAAAGCAAAATATTCGGCCTTGGTAAGACAATTCTAATTCTAAGATTCCGTAAAACTGGGCCAAATGTCGGGTTTGGATATTTGTTCAAACCGAACCGACAATGTTCGAGACACATCCATGGTTTATTTTTTTATTTAAAAATTATCAATTTTCTGGTAATTTTACTTTCTGCACCTCCACAATTTCTTCGTGCATCAGATTACATATTTTGGAAACTTTTAAAACGATTTTTTTTGAAAATTTTTAAACAATATTTTCATAATATAGTTTTTAAAAAAATGTGAATTTTAGAACAAAATTTCTCAAATACAAAAAATACATTCAGAAATAAGTTTTTGGAAATGGAATTTTCAATAATATTTTTCAAAATAAGTCCTTCCAGCTAAATTGTTTTCAAAATACATGTTCTAAAACAAAAAAGTCTTTTGCACTTTCTCTTTTCTTTGTCTTTGATAGCATTCTTCTTTGTTAATTTTTTCTTTATTTGCAATACGTTGATGATGAAATATATAAAATAAAAATAAACAAGGTCAGAAACATTGATAGTGTTTATTTATTATTCGATCTACAATAAACAAAATCAATCTATTATTATATATTTTCATAAGTTAACAATTTTCTTTAAGTTGTTCCACAAAGTTTAAATTATTTGGATAAATATATAACATACATAAAATGTTTGGACATCTAGAAATGTTTTAATTAACTTAATTATTTTAAGATAATTTCAAGAAAAAACTTAAACCATTTGAACTAAAATAATAAACAAAAAAGAATAAATATAACTATTTTATTTTCTAGTTTTTTTAAGCATACTTTAGTCTTAAATTTTATAAATTGAGCTAACACAAATAGTAATTACTAATTTTTAAGAATAAAACAAAACAATAAAGAAAACTTTTGTAAGCTAAATCTGGAAAATTCCATCAACAAAGTTGTACCAATTTAGGAGACAAGTGGCATCTACACTGTGCACCACGTGACCTTTCAAAAAAAATTTGAATTCGAAAACCAACCGGAAACACATTATGCATATTATTCTCCCATCTTATGTACCACATATACTCTTTCTCTCGTCGTCTCTAAACGCACTAAATGTAAAAATAGAGTTTTAAAATAAAAAATGTGATTTACAATTTAAGATACTTGATTGTTTTAATAATAAAAATTTAAACTATAAATAGAATTTAGTTTTATTATTTTAAAAGGATATTAATTTTAATTTTTTTTAGATTTTTTATCCAAAACTATTAAGGTGATCTTTAAAGAAAGCTCACCACTTTGGTCGGATCAGGATTTAAAATATAAAGTAAGTTGATTTTTTTTTCTATTTTCTTTGTTGATATGTTGTTTTTTTTATGTATATGTGGATCATTTTAATTTATATGTAATGTTTAAGTCTTAATGGCGTGTCCTGATCGTGTTTGTGTTATTCATATGGACAAATAGGATTTCCGTGCGTTTAGAGGTGTTTTTTGGGATTTTTGAATGTTGATCGATCTTCTAAATAAGAGAAGTTAATTGCATTATTTTTAACTTGTAAAAGGTGATGATTGGATGTTTGTATGAATAATTGGTTTATATAATTGAGTTATTTGATGAAATGACAAGTGTAATTAAGTTTTATACACTATAAAAATTCGCAAAACTACCAACAAATTTTATCGAAGGATTTAAAAATTTTAATTATCAACCAATAGATTTATTATTGACGAAAAAGTCTATCAATAATACATATTTTATTTAGCGACAAAAGAATCTATCGAGTAATTCGTTAATAATATATATTTCATTTATCGAAAAATGTTATTATTGATACAATTCATTAATAAATAAAATATGTATTACTAACGAAATAATCTGTCAATAAATTCATTGATTAAAAGAACAACAAATTTTCTGTCCAAAATCTTATATTTAGTGTCAACATATATCATTTCATCATCTACTAAAAAAAAAATCAACCCATTATGTAAATTGTCGTGTTCCTTAATAGCACAACATAGGAAGGGTTCCTAGTAGGAGAGAGTAGGACACAAAAGAAGAATAAGACATCATTTCTTCTATATCTAAATTGTTTATCACAAGTTCCGAATTCTATATTCCTATTTATCTTCTTCATTAAACATTACTTACAACTTCTAAAAGAATTTATAAGATAACTTAAATAAAACATTTATCATTTTATATATTTTTTCTATATTTATTTATTTTTTTTGGTGTCCTTACTTTTAATTTTTTATTTATTATTATTGTTTTCATTTTATTAGTGAATTGTTTATAATATCAGTTTTATTTATTTATTATTATTATTTTATTAGTGAAGTGTTTATAATTTAAATTTATTTATTTATTGTTATTATTTTTATTTTATTAGTAAAGTGTTTATAATCTTATTTTTATTTATTTAATGTTATTATTTTATTATAGTAATTAGGTGTTTTAACCTTATTTTTATTTATTTATTGTTATTTTTTTATTTATTCAGTTAGGTGTCTTTAACTTTATTTTTATTTATCATTATTTATATTCAATTTATTAAAGAAAAAGTTTTTAACTCATTTTTATTTATTTACTTTGTATTTAAATTATTCAGTGAGTTTCAGTGTCTAATAATTATAGTACAAAAAATATCATGATAAAAGAAAATTGATTTATTATAGCTACAAGGGGATTTAAATGAGTTAATATTTAACTCATTTATTGTAACTAGTCACTAATAAATAATTTCACATGTTGTAATTAGAGGTATACCTTGAAGATTTAAACGAGTAGATATTAGCTCATTTATCATAGCTAGTTATTACGAGAAAACTTATTCGAATATTTATAAATATATTATAAAGTGAAATCAATGAATTTATCAAGAATTTCAGTATATTGTTTTGATATTATACAAATTGTTTAAATCAAGTTGCTGATGATAAAGTTATATATATTATAATTCAATGTTCTTACCCTTGCATTTTATAGATGTTGTTTTCATCTGCGATGATTGTGTATCTAAATCTATATATAACAGTTGAGAATCACACAAGTAATATTGAGAATCGACAACGAGACTGTGAATATGTAAATAGGAATTGACACAAATATCTATGTATATTCTTAGTATTTGGCACTAGTTAATATAAATTTTGATTTGCCAAAAAAAATATTACTTACAATTGTTGGAAGACTATGAATACTTAATATAGATATACACTTATGTATTTGGCTCAATAGTCTCTTTTGTCCCTAGTTTTGCTCGATTGTGTCATTTTGGTCCCTGGTTTAAAAAAAGTCTCTAGTTGGTCCTTACTTAGTAAATTTTGTGTCAACGCCGTCCCTTCCGTTAGAAAGAGACAGACGGAGTTAATGGATTGATGATATGACAGTACATAGTGGCAACGTGTCATATTTAGGCTTAATGCGTGGTGGCGTGTTAAGTAATTAGAGTTTACGGTGGATAGTGAAGATTGGGTGTTTGAAATTGAGGAAAAATTAAGTTAGGGCAGAGGCAGAGGGCATTTTGATTTGTGCGAGAGAACAGAGTTATTCACCTACATTGCGAACACAGTACACTGGTGGGTGTTGTTGATCTTGTTTATCTTCTTCTCCTTTCTGTTGTTGTTGTTTAGGGTTTGGATGTGAGTGTTGTATGTTGGTAGTAGCATGGTTGGCGAAGTGGTTTGTGGTCGTTGGTGGTGGTTCGTGGTTGTTGTTGGTGGTTTGTGGTTGTCGTTGTGTAGTTTTGGCGTTGGGGTTGAACTGACAATGTCTTTCAATCAATGTTGTTCGTCTTGCTTATGGGGGAGCTCTCGTGGTGGTTCATCCAGAGGATTCGTTGGAAGCCAAATATGTCATTGTGAGGAGGTTGTTGTGTTGAGAGTGGAAAAAACAATGAAGAACGAGGGGAAGCAATTATGGGTCTGCCCTAATTATAAGGTTTGTAGTTTAATTTTTGTGTTAAATTATTTTGGTGATTAATGAATTGTTTATGGTTGGAAAATTTGAACAGCAGACAAGAAATGAAGAACTTCAAGGATGCAATTTCTTTAAATGGCGTAATGAAGATAATGTAGATGATGCTGGTAGTACTATTGTGAGGCAAAGAAGAAAGATTAATAGCTTGGAGAAATTTGTTATGGGATGTCAGAAAAGGGAGAAGATGTTAATATGGATGTTATGTTTTATGGGGTTCATTAACATCATCCTTGTTTGTATGTTGTTTAAAAGTCCATGATGTGTTGTATTACAAAGTTGTTGTTAACAACAAATTGGTTATATTGTAATATGATGTTTTGAAATGAATGAGAACTGTCAATTTGTGCATCTGAATTTATGGTTTCAATATACATCTGGTCTACTATTCCTGTGAATAATAAAATGCAAATAAAAATTATGGTTGAAATGCACTATGAATATAGAACAATAGCACATTGAAGTTTAGATTGAAATCAGAAATTCATCGTAGAACTCATCACAGAATTCATTATCATTATAAGTCATTTATATTGAACTTCAAATACACAATGAATATACATCAGGTAGAAGTTGACAATAAAATCAAAAAGTGGACTTGAATACAATCATAAGGCTAAATATCAGTGTGAAGTGGACGATCTTTGGTTGAGAGGCAAAATCAGAAAGTGAACTTCAATATACATCATTACAAGTCATCAAAGAACTCATCATCATTAGAACTCATTTATAGTGGAATTTAAATGCACATTGAAAACAGAAACTGAAATTCAAATTCAGACTGAAATCATTGAAATGTACAACTTTCTTGTTCATGGGAGAATAGATAGTGAACCAGGATTCAAAATGAAGTTCAAGTTACATATAAAAGTTTACAAAATAGCCAATACTGGGTTGTAACAGACATGACCTAAACATTTAGTGACTTCTAAATAACTTTTAAACTTTTGTTGTACTTGGGTGACTTTGTTGAAGTTGGCATTCAGTGAGGTGGCTTGATTGAGATTGACTTTGGTTTGTTGGAGGATGTTGTGGGCAAGTATTTCTTTTATGACCAAGTTGTCTATTATGCAACATTTCTTGCGAGATACACCTTGCTTTAGTTGT